AGTGGAGCAGGCGCTAGTGGGGTGCGTGCTGGGGATGGTGCGCGCGATGACGGGCGTAGGAAGGGAGAGCCTGCTGATCCATGTGTGGAGGGATGCTGCGCAGGGGTGACTGGGCTCAGGTTGGGTGGCAGTGGATCTTGTGACGGTGGTTCGTCCCATCCGTTATTTGCGAGCCTCGTCGGCCTTCACGCAGTCCTTGCTGGTCTGCCTACGCGTTCTGCGTGTTCTCCCGGTACGTGGGGTGGGGGTTGTATCACCCCTGTGCTTGCTGCGCATGAGCGCCCATGTTATGGGCGCCCCCTGGCGCGCGTGCGGCGTCCAGAGTTGCGTTGACCCGTCCTTCATCGGGTCCTCGGGGTTTCCTTCCCCTAGGGGTTGGTCGCCATCCCGGTTCACCTCCGGACGGCTCTCGGCCAGTTCCCCTCCATTTTCTCGAGGGCCATCATCGGTTGGATGACGCCTGGTGGCGGAGACGTCTTTGCCTCCAGCCCTCGAGAGCCCTGCCGTGTTTCCCGAGCAGAATCCTAGATCAAAATCAATAGTGTTAGTTTGTGTTGTAGTTGCGTGGGTTTGAGACACACCAACAGCCTCGCTAGGGCTGCTGGCGACTTGCCTCGGTAAGTGGGTTGACGGAAATCTCCCGACGCGCTTCTTGGGAGCGCGCTGTTTGATTTCCGACGTGCCAGGACTGCTGGCCGGCATACCCGATTTCAGAGAAACCATGCCGTTGCTGCGCCGGGCACATCCAAGGGGGGATCGGCCCCCTCGGCATGTACCAGCACGTATCCCTTACCCGTTTCCTGTCCCACACCTGCGAGGTGCGGTCAGTAAATGCGGCGGGCTCGGGTTGCGCAAGACATCAGTCTTGCGTCTTCTTCTGAGCCCAGACTCAGGAGGTACTTAGGTTATTCTCATCTAAGTATCGTGTATGAAGAGGATTTTTATTCACGGAGAGGGTACAAGCAGAGGAGAGGGCAGCTGGTTGAGCAGCGCGCGTGCAGTACGAGAAGGTATATAAAATGTCCAATAATTATATAGTGCGGGGTGGGGCGCGTTAGTTGCGGCGACCACCGTTGTTGCGCCCCGGACCACCTGTGTTGTTGCGACCACTGCCGTTGCGGTTGCCTCCACGGTTTCCGCCGCGGTTGCCGCTGCCCGAGGCAGGGGTGTCGTCACCACGTCCGCCGGAGGGGTTTTTGGAGAGAATGCCTTCCGTGAGCTTGGACATCTGGTCGGGCGGTCCCCACCACTCGGTAGAAGCGGGAGCGTTCCCGCCGCCATTGGCGGGGGGAGGGGCGGCCGAGCCAGTGGTGCCTTGTGATGTTGGGCATAGATAGACGAGGTGGGTGTCGGTGTGGCACATGACGCACTCGACCGGCTCACCCTTGTAGCAGCGCGTGCGGAGCGTGCGCTTGAACGCCTCGTTGTCGTCGATGTTGTTGTTGATCGGCGGCATGTAGATGCAGATGAGCGGGGACTCGGGGTGGGGGAACCACTGGGTGGTTATGGTTTTTGTGACGTTGAGCACGCGATCATCCTCGGATAGGTTGCTGTTGCCCTGGGTCATTTGTGCGATGTCGCGGACGGCGGTGGGGGTGGTGAGGATGTGTAGCGTCAGCGCTGTCCTCGCGGAAGCCTGGAGTTCCGCGGGGGTCCTGCTCGACTTGACGGGGGCCCAGACGCCTATCATGTGTGAGCGGCGCGCTTGTTGGTAGGTGTCAACATCATTTAATACATGAAAGTTCATGTGGTGACACATACCTGGGTCAATTGTCTCGGTGCAGAACGCGAGGTCATGCGAGATGGCGAAGGTGCGTTGATTGTGCATCTTCGTGCGGATGGCCGGGTCAGGGAAGCGGGCGAAGACTACGAAGGGGTCCTGGTATTTCTTGCTCCCGTCTCCCATCTGGACGACGGCGGGGTTGGCGCGGTACAGTTCCATCTCTGCCGGGCTGGCGATGGAGGCGGTGGCTTTATGGATGTCGTCGAGGACATTTTGATAGACCGCAAAGAAGCGCTGGCCCCCGAGGAACATAACGAGTGCTAGGTACCTAGGGTAGTTGCTTTGTTAGTGTGTTTTCATTTGTATATAGTACGACGTACTCGTCGGCGTCGTCCCTGACCATCCCTTCCTGTTCCCCGGTGACGTTCGCGAAGATCCTCGTGCAGGTGGTGACTGCGTTGGGGACTTGACCCCTGGCTTGAGCGTAGGGCGCACGGCCGTTTTGGAGGTTGGTGGGAGCTGGCTGCGCAGGCTGGAATCCCTGGTGGTCGTTCGGTGGGCCGATGGGCACGAATGCCAGCAGGGCCGCTTTGGTGGGGAGCACGACCGTAGGGCCCGCGACCGCGGCGACCAGTGCAGCGCCGCCCAGGCCAAGGGCAGCGGCAGGCGCTACGGCCGCTGCAGGTTGGGGCTGTTGTTGGGCAGCGGGGACGGCAGTTTGGGCGGGGTGAGCGTTATTCATGGTGTTGTCGTCGTTATCAATTTCCATGTCCTCCTCGTTTGAGTCGTAGCCGTCGTCGTTGTCAAGGGGAGGTTCAGCGATGGTGTCGGCGCTGGGGGTGGGGCTGGACGGGGCAGCGTCTGGCGCGGGGGTGTGGGAGGATTCGTGGTCTGGGGTGTGGGCGTAACGGATAGGCGTGATGGGTTCGTCGTCCTCAAAGTCAATGGCGGCGCGGGTTGTGACGTCGAGGTCGGTGCGCACTCGGTGGCCCTTGCGGACTGCGGGGCTGTCACGGGGTTTTTCGTCGCGGTCTGGGGGACAGAAGGGGCCTTCGCCTGTTTTGACGGCTTTGCGTGGCGTCGAGGGAGGCACGGGAGGGGGTGGTGAGTAAAAGTGGAAGGGGTTGGAGGGTTCCGCCACTTCTTATGGTTGGGTTAGCTGTTTTCCTGTTCCAGAGGTGTGTACTTACTGTGGTTTGGGGCACTCGGTGTGTGCGAGGGGGAGACTGCTTTTTAGAGGGAATTTCCGTCTTACTTATACTAGTCGCATCGGGCGCATCACCGTGGAGTATCAGCGCCGGCTAGCGATAAGGTATCGGGCTGCGCAACGCCGTCCGCGACGACGGCTTCAGTGGGTAGTTCTCTGTCGAGAGTGAGGTATTGGTTTTCGGGGTCGTCCGTGCGCCACGATTCGGTGGGTACCGGTCAAGCTTCAGGCCTTCAGGTCCCGTCTGTAGTCGTCTTTTTCCGTCTTTAGTCGGCGCCATTGGTGGCTCGTTGGTCGGGAGCGGGGGGGGCGTTGTGGTGGAGAGGAGCGCTGGCACGTTCGTGGGAGAGGAAGCTCTATTATTGGCAGTGAAGTAGATATGTATCAACTATTTTCCGACGCTCCTCGGGAGTGCTGCCCGTTCTGGGCGCAGCTCTTACGGGTTTTTCGGCCCTTAACCCAGTCTGGGGCCACATGAACGTGGTAGGGTGCTTACCGCAGCCTAGTCGATGCTCACGACGAGGAGGGCCACCCTTTTCCCTACCCCCACCAAAAGGATGATGGTGGTAAGAAGAAACGCGACCTCCGTCCTTCGTCTCTTAATATACAAGCTTTAAGACCCTTGCCTCCGGCACGGCTTACTCACTGCGCTCGCAGCCGTCCCTTCGGCAGGTCCACAGCTTGTTGGGGCTCTGCCCTAAACCCCTGCTGGATCCTTGTTTCGCCGCAGACACGGCGGATACAGAGTCCGGGGGTTCGCCCACACACGGCGGATTCCGGGTCGTGGGAATCGGCGGGAACATCTCGACAACCGGCAGCGAGAACTCGACAAAGCCTCGTGATTTATGCATGTGACTTATCAAAAAAGCTGTGCGTCCTCTTTTCAAGTATAGGATTGACATCCAAATAAAGAGATTTGATGCCCAGTGAGAAGTCCCTTGAGGGATATTGAAGGATAATGAGCTAAAATGAATAAAAAGGAGGTGTATATGAAAATTTTGAACGTGAGTGAATGACGCACGCGAAATTCTTATCTTTAGGCTCTTTAGCGCGACAACGCCCCTTGGCCTCCCCACTCTGACACCCACGTGACCTTATCGCCCCGCGTGGGTTCGAGTCCGAGCACCGCCGATCTTTTCTGCCCTCCCTTTATGTATATATTCTGTACATACTGTACTTGTGTGACGGAAAGTAACCGGAATTGTAATACTCTGATAAATTGGGCGACCTTTTGCGGACTTGTGGTCTAGGATTCAAGGAAGGGTCTCTTGGACCTCATACAACTGAAAATTCGTCCCCACAATGCTCCACTTCTGGAAAAAAATCCAGGTTTAAAGAAGAATTCCATCAAAGGTCTGATCCTGGCATTTCTCGAAATATTCATAGTGACACGTAGAAACGTTGTTGACCCCGATATCTTGTGTGGGCATTTGAACACATGTGAAGTTAATTAACAGAACTTGAAACCCCCAAAAAATTCCTTCGGGACACACGCAAAGGGAAGAAATGCAAGAAAATCCCGCTTTTTTGAACACTCGTCACTGTGCAGCCTATAAGGCCTCCAATTCCACATTAAAGTGGCCTAGGGGATGGGGAATCGCCCTTCCATTGAAAGTCTGTTCACGTTCATCCAGAATACCCTTGTTATCCGGGCATAAAAGTGGAATTCCGGTTAGTCTCTGTAATACCAAGTAGTTTGCTCTTTTCAGTGTTTAATAATATTCCTTTACATCAATTAGATATTTGGAGGGTTAACAGCGCGGAGTGCAAGGGGTGGCTCTCAGGGCGCTCATGACCTGAAGATCTCCTGTGTTCTAAAGCCTGCAAATGGGCCATGGATGGGCCATGGAAACCAAGTTTGAATTTTTTGGGCCCACAACTCGGTCCGGAATAGAGTACATCAGCTGGCTGGAGGCCAAAAATCATAGAGTGAGTCAGTTCAAAATCCCCCCCAAAAAAGCGGAGGGACCTGATGTGAAGGGGCCTGCCGTGCTGATATCCAGCGCGCCAGAGGTCCTCGAAAGTAGGGCGTAGGCGTAGGGAGCTTAAAAGAGGAAGAGCATAAAAGAACGTTAAGCGTCGGGATCGAACGCACGCCAACAGCATGACCGACCGCAGTCATAACCACTAGACTACAGAGCTGACGACAAACAGCGTTCTGACGTGGCCACATGCTTACCCGGGGCTGTTTTCCCGGGACATCAGAGAGATTTGATTGCGAGCGAAGCGAGTACTCTTACCTAAACGCACGTGATGAGCATAGTGCTTGAAACTCAGCCTACCCTCCCTTCTCCTCTCCAACCCCACCCAGCATCTCATGCAGATATCGGCCCATCGTTATCAGGCCCTACTCCTCTACCACCACAAATGCGGGGCAGCTGCTAGTTCCGTAGGAAAGCTGTTGCCGTGGTCAAAGGCGACTTGGGGGTGGATAGTATGTAACACTTGCACGTCCTCTTCGCAGTGGAGCCGGCTGCCCAGATCACCCACGTCGTGTACCACTAGGGGCTTTCACCAAGGCATGTGAAAGCCACATGCGTCAGACGCATGTAGCTTCCAGGTGCCGGTTAATGAAACAAAAGAGGTGTGACAATTGAACAATCGTTCTTTACTACATAGACAAAGACTAGACAAAGCACAGACAAAGGGCAGGGCAGGATTCCTGCACTGGGGAAACCTCCCCTGCCCTTTGTCTATCCTTTGTCTGTCCTTTGTCTAGGAAAGAACCATTGTCAAACTGTGACAAAGCTTTTGTTCACCCTGTGACAACATACGAGCTACATGCGTCTGACACATGTGGCTTGCACATGCCTTGGTGAAAGCCCCCAGTGTACCCTCCTGAAGAATACACCCAGTGCCAGTCTTTCGGGGGTTGGGATTCCTCGCTCCTACACATACAAAGGCGGCTGCTTGCCGCGGCAATTGCTCTACGACTGGGTTCAGGACCTGGCGACGTTTATCCACGACGAATATATCCCAAAAGTGAACGAAGCCATCGCCGGAGTAAGCATTTCCTTCACCTATCGTCGGTGCGTCCCTGATCGAGTTCGTCTCAAGGTCCCTCTTGAGCTTGCCCTCTGAGTCCACAAATAGCTGAAACCATTTGTTTTCCCCTTCCCCACCTCGTCGGCGGCATTACTTACCGAATGTATTTGTGCATCTTCAGTAATACATCGTCTTCGCTGTTTCACCGTCTCACGTTAACTTGTCCCACGTCCCCGGTGCGTGCAAGCTTTCATTTTTCTACCCTGGGCCCAAATCCACGGACGTCGACCGGCGATTCGACTCGTTGTTTCCTGTATGTTTGCCGCTGTCTCATCTCCAACGGAACTATCCAAAAACTGATGGTCCTAGAATAAATATATTGAGCTGTCTTGGACACTGTGCAAATAAATGTCTGATGGGTGGGTTCTTCTTTCCCTTTCCCAGTGCACCCTCCTCGTCTGCGCCGAGTTCCTCCCCCCATGCGCTCTTTCAAGCTAGCCTTCCTCGCTTGGCTTGGATGTTTCGCACTTGCGGTGCCGTCGAATTTCACCATAACTTAGACGACGCGGACCACCGAATGGTCTACGCTGGCAATACCACAGACCAATGTATCGGTATCTGCGTCGGGGATGGTTGGGATCCTACAAAACTGTACGACGGGACGGTTACTGTGTGCGTCCCTCCACATTTCTCCCCTCGGAACACGCTACAAACCTCCTCAACTCAGACAATGTTTTGGTCCGATCTGAGCCTTCTTTTTCTCACCAAGGCTGGCTCAGAATATATTCATATCGTATCCATATTCAACGGCCTGAATATGAATACGATACATTAAAAATATGATACGTCTCGCGGGAGGTGAATACGATACGGATATGAATACAACACAAAAATTTCGTATTCATATCATATTTTGGCCAGCACTAGGTCCGACTCACCACGGTTGAAATTGTGCGTGTTTGGCTAGCAATGAAATGCTGGCTATCACCCCAGCAAGTCACCCCAGCAAGTCGGATTCAAAATCCGGTTTGAAAATCCGGCTTGCTGGGGTGATAGCCAGCGAAATTTCAAGCAGATCTGTCTCTTCAGATTTCTTTCTCAAGCAGTCCTGGCGTTTCATTGCTGGCCATCAAAATCCGGTTTGAAATGAGCCTGCACGAGGGAATTTGGCCCAGTTTGGCAGGGGTTGAAATGTGCGTGTTTGGCTAGCAATGAAACGCCACGACTGCTCGAGAAAGACATCTGAAGAGACAGATCTGCTTGAAATTTCGCTGGCTATCACCCCAGCTTTCTAGAAGACGCAAATGTTATGCCTTTGACTTGGGACACTAATACAATCTCAATAAAAGTGAAATGAATACCTAACTAAAATATCTAAGGCACATGGCTCAAACCGGTGCTATGCTGGCCGTTTGTATCATTGACCGGTGAAAAACTGTATGTGTACAAGTTTGAGGGCGTCAAACATTCCATTTGCATTGATGGCGAAGACTAGGAGAGATGATATTGGCATGGACGAATGTAGTGAACTGCAGATGACGTAGGGAGGACATAGAAAGCAGTGCAGAGGATGAGAAAGATTCGAAAAACTACGATGAGGCCGAACAGAGATTTTGGAAAGGTGGCACGTGAGCTGGTAGAACGAACAGAGGATAAAGGAGTAGGTGATTCGTAGCGAGGATTTTCGAAGAAATTAGTACAGTATGAGATAGACGGATGCTTGTCTATGTTTGGTTCAGAGGATAAAGCTGCCGGCCCCGTGTTAGTTAGCGACTGTTGTCCTAGTTTGCAGTCAGAGGCCGCACAGGAGTTAGACAGCACGGAGTCAGAACATACAGCCACATTGACAGGTACCATAGGTGTGTCCTCGTCAGACTTCTGGTTTTCTGAAGATTCGCTGTCGTCGGAGTCATCTTCCATATTGCTCGTGGTTGTTGTGACCAGCCTATCAACAGCATCTTCGTCTGCGTTGCTAGGGACTCGGGTCTTGTTGCTACGATGGGTTATCGATGGGATGGTAGGAGCAGTGGCCGCGGAGAAGGCGTCATCTGCAGATGAAATCTCTTTATCCTCTGTCTCTATTTTTTCGAAAAGGTTCTCGATTTCCGCACGGATTTGGTCAACCTTCCTTTGGCTGGGCTCTATATCCAAACGACACGTGAGGAAGTCAATTCTCCGCTCGTACGCGTTCCGGTTATCCTGTAGTTGGCTGCGATGGTGTTGGGAGAATAGTGCCATCTGTGTCGATTGCAACCTGTTGTCCAGATCTCCAACGGCCTGTGTAATGGCTTTCATACCTTCTTCTGCTCGATTAAAGCGAGCATCTATGGCCATGAAATTGGCGTTGTTCTCCTTCTGCATGCTATCGAGGTGGGTGTTAATTGCATCAATGGACTTCATAACCGAGTCTCCGTCGCTCCTGATCGATGTATTGTACGACAGGCGCCAGAGGTTGTCGTTATTGACCAACCACAGGAGGCGGGGACGTTGGATGCCAGGAAATTTGGATCCGATACGTCCGTTGTAAAAGTCATTGTCTTCTAGGACCTGTTTAACCACATTCCAGTCCTCCATGATGAAACAATAGCAATCCCGGTCTGGTTTGCGGGTAGAAACCCACGCTGATTGTCCGTTGGACTTTATGTAGCGGTGATGGAAGTAGTTGTCGAGGTCAAACATGAAAGAGGGGTCAGCATCGCCAATTCCGGTGATAATGAGTTCGAATGCATAAATAGGTTCGACTTGTTTGAACGCTGCGAGATTGTCACTGTCTTTGAATGGGGCTGCTTTAAAGGGAGGTGCGCGAAGCAGGAGTTCAACATCGCGTTGGGTGACTAGGACAGCCACTACGGCTCCACCATCCATAGGCCATGACGATGAGAAGGCCGACCTACTTTGGAACAAACGGCGGAGGTAAACTCCCTACATTTAGTGCGACGTTCAGTTTGATTGAGCGCAGATAAGTCTGGGCCTCTGTCGATCCGAACCCATAGTTTCTTATCTTTACCGACTCTTTGGGGGCTCCAACCTACCTCCCATCCGCTGTTGAGTGCCTGGAGTGGTGCAATCCAGTCGTTCAACAAGTCTGGGCATGGGTTTGGGTCATCGTACATGACCGTTGGTGCCAATCGTGCATACTCGAGTAGCAAAATGTACTCGAGCGATCCACAAAGGAACCACTAGTCGAGCTCAGTATCTCTATATCAAAAAGCTCGAGATCGTCGGAAGGGCAAGAGTCTATCGCTCTTTGAATGATCTGCACAGCAGTGAGGCCATCAATGGGTATGATTCCGCAGATTATAAGTACGCAACCGACGGGGGCCATGATGCTGTTTTCCTGCAGATTAGAAGGGAGGGTTGGGGAAGGGGGACGAGTGTCTGGTATCAAAAAACTAGACCACTCGCTATTCCAAAACTAAACAGATGATGCGCTGGATCGCTTCAAACTCTCAACAGACCGAGTTTTGAGGCGGACCGTGTGCGCGGGGATGGCCCTGGGCAATAGGAAGAGATCTGCCAATTCAGATTTCCGCTAGACGATCGTTGGAGCATAAAACGGCGCTCTATTCCAAAACCAAACCGATGACGCGCTGGATGGCTTCAAACTCTCAATGAACCGATTTTTGAGGGGTCGCGTGAAGGAACTCGGGGCGGTATCGAGTCCTAATCTGATTGGAACATTGGTTAGTATGCAGGGTATGGTCTCTGGATATCCAGGCTTGCCATGAGATGTCCAAAGTGCACACCTGTGGGCCAAAACCCTCGAGTATACTTGTGGGCAACCAACAGCTTCAGGGGCATTTCTATTGGAATAGGACGTATCTATGAGTTATGTAACTCCATGGCGCAATGTAATATATGTATACGAAGTCTGCCTTCCAATATCAGGGGCCCAGGATTCATGCTCATATATCTGGAGGGCATTAGTGAAAATATGCATGCTTTTCAGATGGGGAGGGTTGGGGGTCCAGAAAAATATTGAAACCGCCCAAGCACTGCAGAAATGCAAGGGGAATCGAACGCGCAGACTCCCAACCCAATCGGACGAGAATTGAGCCCGCTAGAGGGGCAATGGTCGGGACCATCAAAAAGTTACCAAAAAGGAAAAAAAATCGCCCACACCTTATGTTCCGCAAAGAGCTGTAAACACACCCAA